AGCCGGCAGCCCCCTCGGGGGGTCAGGGCTGCCGGCCATGGGGCGGGGCCTGCTCGCTCCGCGGGACACTCACTGCCCGCTTTTCCTTCCCTGCCAGGGGGAGAGTGGATTCCCCGGCCTGCCCGGCTGCAAGGGATCGCCAGGCACTGACGTACGTAGGGGCGGGTTTGCTGTGCGCCGCGGGGACGCTGCTGCTGGCCGGCAGGGCGCTGGCGCCGGGGGCCAGGCAAAGCAAATCCCCGCGGGGGGCTCCAGGGAGCTGGGTGGCAGGGCGGCGTGCCTGGGAGCCATGTGGGGGGGCTGGGGTCCTGAGAGGGCAGGTCCTGTGAGCCCTGTGTCCGGCGGGCTAACCAGGGCGGTTGCTGGCCCTGCTGGCCTGGCCGTGTGTGGCCGTCAGGGCGCTGGGAAAACGGGCTCATTTCAGAGGCTGCTGTAGCCCCCTCTAGTGAAAGCGCCAGGGTCACCCAGGGCAGACACCAAGCCTTCCTGCCCCAGCCCCTCCCCTGCAGCGAGCATCCAGGGCCAAGGAGCAGCCGGGAGAGCCCCGTGCCGCCTCTGGCGTTCTCCGCGGATGCTCAGGGGACGCTTTGCACGACAGCGGAGAACCCGACTGCTGGGCACGGCACGGCCTGCCCACTGTGGGGGCGGACCCCCGCCGAGCCGGAGACGGCAACCGCTCAGCTGCTGTGGGAATTCCAGGAGCAGGGGGCTTGTTGGGCGATTTGGCAGCTTTCCAGCGGTTGGCCATGTGGCTGCAAACCCTGAGCCTTGAACGGGCAGGTCACGCTCCGCGGGTGGCCCTGCCCGACCCCCGGGCACAGTGCAGGGAAGTGTGAGAAGAGCAGCTGGCTGGTTTCACAGGGCTTCCAAGGCCCCGCCGGCCCGAAGGGAGACCCTGGATCCTACGGACGCAAAGGGAGCAAGGTGAGTCGCGAGTCGCCCCCGGCATGGGGTCGGCCACGCTCCATCTCCAGCGGCCCTCGCCCCATCTCTGGGCTGCTGGCAGGAGGGATTGGCTGTCACTCGCCTGGGACGGGGGACGGGAGGTGCTGGCCTGTTCGCTGCCTGCTGCCTGGAAGGAGGGGGATTGAGTTGTTGCGCAGAGCGGGAGGG